TTAAAAATATATATATTTAAATTTTTTATTGGCATACAGTTGATTTACAGTGTTGTGTTGGTTTCAGCTGTACAGCAAAGTGAATCAGTTATACACATACCCATATAACCACTCTCATTTTTGAATTCTTTTCCCATATAGGCCACTACAGAATATTGAGTAGAGTCCCCTGTGTTACACATAGGTTCTGACTAGTTGTCTATTTTATACATAGTATTGTGTATATGTCAATCTCGATCTACTTTTTGATTGATTTTTCTTATATTGAGCTGTATAAGCTGTTCATATATTTTAGAAATTAGTCCCTTGTTGGCCACATCATTTGCAAATATTTTCTCCCATTCCATAAGTTGCCTTTGGTTTTCTTTATGGTTATTTTTGCTATGCAANATGAGAAAGAATACACATGAAGCAAGTAGAGAACAAAATATATGCAGATGGCAAACTGTGTGGTTTAAATTCTGAGTGTTGATGAGGAAAGGAGGGGTGAGCTCTTTATGGCCAAGGGTGGCAGAGGAGGGTTTAGGAGCTTGGAGCAGACATGGGCGCAGGATAAAGTCCTGCTCTTAGAGGACTCCACATACTTTTTATACAGCAGTGTTAGTTGATGAAATAAGTTGAAAAAAGGGTGACCAGAATGAATACATTGATAGGAAGAAGGAATCTCCATGGGATCATGGAATCTTAGACTTTCTAAACTGGTAAGGAAGATAATAAAAATTGCTCTGCCAAACAAGAGAGGAAAGGAAGGTCCAGAGAAATTAACTTCTGTTCATTTCAACAGATGTTCTTTTTGTAAAATTTAATTTGTTAGCAGCTCAGTATATTTTTAAATGTTTAAAGTACTTTAATGAATGATCAGATTTTTAATAATTAATAACTTTAATATCTTATGATTGAGAGTTAAAATTTGATAAGCTATTTAATTTCTAAATCTGATATCTCTGTTTTCTCATAAAGTGAAATGGGATTACTTTCAGGACAGGCACGCCCTCCTTGGTGTGTTATTGAGAAGGTCACTGATGGTCATAACTGTCTCCTCCTTAATGTGCCATTGTCCAGCTGAGACATTTCTCAAAACACTTTATTCCTTTTTTTTTTTTTTGCTGCATCATACAGCTTGCAGGATTTTAATCCTTCAAACAGGGATCGAAACCATGCCCCCTGCAGTGGAAGCACATAGTCCAAACCACTGGACTGCCAGAAGAGTCCCTTGAAACACTTTATTTTTGTCCAGGGTTTCTAAATCTGTCCATATCAATTGCTTTTGCTTTTATACTAGCACATGTTGTCACATGAAAATGTCAAGCCTTTTTTGTGAAGATATGGGAAACTATTATGGGCCCATACCAAGGCGTGGAGAATAAGGGCACACTCTGTAATGATCAAGATCAGAACAAGAGGTAGGATTTACCCCCAGATGGTTCAAATGAAGATACTTGATAGAGGGAGATACAGAGACATGAGCAGAATTCGGGAAGCAAATAAGGGATGCTGAGGCTACTCAGAGACAAGCCTTAGGTCTGAAGGACTAAGAGGAGGAGTATCACTGGGGCCTGCTGAACTGGGACAAGGGACTGCCCATTGGGAGCTCAAGCTACGGAGGGAGGCAGTCAGAGACAAGCCGTGACAGCGTGGAGATAGAGGGAAAGAAAAAGCTCTGACCCCCATCCTGTCCCCCGTCTCTTGCCAACCAGAAGTCAACTGGCAAGTGAGGCCTGGTGTGCATCTACAGAGGCAGACTTTGGGGCACAGAATAGACAGAGACTAGATCTGGGGAAAGTGTGTATGATGCCAACGAGCAGGGGATGGTTAGCCGGTACACTCTCAGAGAGCCAAACTAGAAAACGTATACATGTTGGATGCCATTAGCCACCCTAAAGCAACCCTTAGTAGGCGACCAAAATCGTGGAGTGCACCCAGGACATTGTTGGGAAGCAGAACTGCTATGGGATTTCAGCCAAGTCACTTGACTCAAAATTGATTGCACTGTATCCAGTCTTGAAGTTGTACAGACTCTCAGTAGGAATATGGACAGTTGGGGTGAGGACTCAGAGAATAGAATTTGGCCACGTGTCTCAATACTTCATAAGGGGAGAAGGTGGGTTTACTATCAGCAGCCCCTGTGAGCCTGCCTCCAAAGAGTGATGGATGTATCAGACTGTCATAGCTTAGTGACACCTGCCTTAAAACCACCTGCTTCCTCCAATGGCTCTGAACCAGACTCCCCACCCAGCCTGTGTTTAGCATTTGCTTTCCCATATAGGTTTTCTTTTGTATGTCCTTATCAGCCCACTAAGGGTTCTGCTTCTCTTGACAGTTATATCTCAAGCTAAATTAATAAATTAGCCTCTGGAGTATCTGATGAACTTGGGAATTCAGAATCAGGGCCCAACCACCTTTTACTTCTATTTCCCAAATCCAGTCACATCCAGATTTGATAACTGTGTCCAAAGCTCCGGGGTGCAGAAGACCAGATTCTGGAGAGAGGACCTGCAGCAAGGCCTTGCCTCTCTGGACAACCAGCCAGCCTCACCAGAACATACCTGTACTTCACTTTTCCAGGTGCAATGGGCCACTGACTCTACCTGCCTTTTCAATCCTTGTTTTTATGACACTTAACCCAAAGCTGGCAGGGGAGTGTAACACCAAGCATTGCAATCCCTCCCCACTCTTTTTTCAGAGAAGAAAGAAATCCCAGAAAGAGGGAGTGACTTTTCCAGGGTCTTAGCTCATGTTGGTGGCTGACTTCAAATCTTTCTCGTATTAGGAAGGAGTATGATGAATGGATAGATGGGTGTATGGACAGATCCCTAGATTCTTGAATGAATGGATGATGCATGAATGCTGCATGGATGGATGGATGGTGCTATGGTCATGAGTACTGCTTAACACACTCTGTTTTGTGGTTGTGGCAGAGGCTTTGGACCACCACTGAGACCATGAGAGATATTTCCAAGTGCACTGACAGCGTCCCACCTCAGGTATTTTATCCCCTTTTCTGCCTCAGCTCTTTTTTAAAAAAATTGAAGTATAGTTGATTTACAATGTTGTATTAATTTCTGCTGTACAAGAAAGTGATTCAGTTATACATGTGTATATATACAGTCTTTTTAATATTCTTTTCCATTATGGTTTATCACAGGATATATGTATATATAAAATTCCCCGTGCTGTACAGTAGGACTTTGTCGTTTACCCACCCTGTATATAAGAGTTTGCATCTGCTAACCCCCAATCCCACTCCATTCCTCTTTGGCCCCTCCTCCCCCTCGGCATTAACAATTAGCAATAACAAACATCTTTTCATGTCCTGCCTCAAATCTTTTTCCAAAGCTGCAGAAGTTCACTCAGCCTCTGTGCAGGGCAGCCTCAAAGTGCAGAGAAGTCAACATCCCCCGGGATAACCCTCTCCTATGGAGGTTTAAAATCAATGCTCAAATGCCCCAACCTCCCACCGTTCAAAGGAACAATTGTGAGATGTGTTCTAGATTATTCTTAGGAGATTTACCAGCAGGATTCAGGCCCACCTGCCCACAGCAATAACCGACTCACATACTTTACTGATTTTTCACCCTTTCTGTCTCACTACCCCTATTTCCATCACTCTTGCATCCTCGGATCATCTCCCCAAACCTACCTGTACTTAAGTTCTTGTCTCAGGCTTGGCTTTTAGGAGAACACAAATGAAGACTCTGGACTTGCCTGGTGGCTCAGTGATAAAGAATCCATGTGCCAATGCTGGAGACATGGGTTTGATCCCTGGGTTGTGATCCCGAGGTTCAGAGGGGTTAAGAAACCTCAGTTAACCAGAAAATAAGTGACTTTGCTGTGCTGGGTGGGGACCAATTCAGAGGACACTTCTTAATCATGGACTTACAGAGTCTCTTAGCTGGAAGGACTCTTAGAAATATCTAGTGCAGTGTTCTCAGCCTATTATTACCTTTCCAAGGGTGTTTTCAGATATTTTTTTAACCCTATCCACTGCTCCCATGAAATTTTAATACCACAGATATATTATATATCCATTTATGCACTGTGCATGCATGCTTGCTTGGCTAGATATTCTTTCAGGTATTGTTGACATTTCTCCTTTTCAGCACTTGACATAATTATTGATGGATTGAATAACTTAGTAGAATGAAATATAGTAAAATACAACTTTTAATTGTCAAATCCCAAGTCACACACAAAGTCACTGAAAAATAAACATAAACAACTTCCAGGAGGCAGTGAATAGGAGCCAATAGGCACACATGAACCATCTCTTATGACAGGGCTTTGTGATTGAGTGAGGATTAAGAGAAAGTCTTCAATCCATCCCCTGTAGTCTTGCAGTACTGATCCTGCATGCATTTTGTGTATCTTCTGTGACCTTAATGTCAATACAAAAGAGAACCTGACGAGAGAAAACAAGTAAGCTCTAAGAAATAAGATTTTCCCAGATAGGCTTGAGCTTTGGAGGGCCACCAGCCTTTGCAGTATCTAAGACTGTTTCACCTCCAGAACCAATGTTCACCCCTTCGAGTGTGATGAGAATGCATGAGTTAGTCCAACGCCATCATTTTACCAATTAGAAGGATACCAAGTTCTGGAGGAGTTGTCATACAAGGTGATCAGACAGAGCTGGAATGAAAACCTGCTCTTCCAATTCTGAGCCCACAGCTCATTTTATGTCACCTAAGACCTGGCTCACTAGTTCATGTGAACTGGGCCCAGGATCAGCGAGTCTTGGTGCTCTTTTTTTTAAAAAAAACTACGTATTTACTCATCTGCTGTGTTGGATCTTAGTTGCAGCACACAGCGTCTTCTCTGTGGCATACAGGATCTCTTATTGTGGTCTCTTCTTTGTGGCATGGGCTCCTTTCTCTAGTTGCAGCTCACAGTCTCAGTAGTTGTGGTATGTGGGCTTCGTTGCTCCATGGCATGTGTGATCTTCCCGGACCAGGGATCGAACCTGGGTCCCCTGTATTGGAAGGTGAATCCTTAACCACTGGGCCACCAGGGAAGTCCCTGTTGGTGCTCTTTGGGAGGAAAAAAAAAAAAATCTTCATTTTGCTGTTGGAATGTACCATGATTATTAAGCTGTGTTACAGTTGCTCCCCAACCCAATTTCCGCTGGGGCATATAAAAGCAGAGAGCTAATTATATGATAGTAATTACCTGGAAATTATATGTTTATTGGTTTTCCACTAGCAGATACTACTATTTTTGAACTTTGCATTATTCTCTGCTCAGTGACAGGAGTCACACTGTCTCCTCCAAGTATGCCCTCCAATCTCATGATTAGCAAACTTTTAAAAAGGAGCCACTGCCAGCAGCACGGAAAGCCTCCTGGGTAGGAAAGGGAGCATGTTGACACCGTCCACGCAGGAGGCACCCGAAAGTCTCCATCCCCCACACCCACATGCACCTCACTTCTTGACAGAAGCCTTTAATAATAAAGTGCTCAGCATCCTCTGGTCTAAATGAAGCACATTCCTATCTCTGCCCTTGGATACTGGGAATAGTGTCCAATAGGAAGGGGCCTCATCTGCCACCGGATATATTTATCTACCCTTCAATTATGTGCCTTGGTTAATTGTCCCTTTTCTACCAGCTCTTCTTATGACAGAGATCCTGAGCCTCGCCCGTAATTATAGTGAGGAAATATTTCTATGAGCTTTTAAAGGGAAGCCTAAACTGGGTCAAAACACGGAAGGTGGGACGGTCAGGAAGCAAGGGTCAGTGTCAGCTTCACCTTGATGAGTTGGTTTCCAGGGGTCTTCTCCCACTTGAGGGCCCTTATCTAAAATCTATCGTCAGCATCTCATTCAATTGTTATTATTCCAGTTAAGATTTAGGAACAACTTCCATGGAGGACTTTACAGTTTACAAAGTGCCCTTTACATGAAGCACCTCACTTATCTTCAGAAATGCTGAAAGCAGTTAGGAGATTGGGTTTACACACTCAGCCATTGAAATGTATCTCCTTGCCTGTGTGGAAGGGCCAGAGGGCAAGCTGGATTCAGTCCTATTGATGCTTCACTATGGGTAAGGTTGGAGAAGGAAATGGCAACCCACTCCATTATTCTTGCTTGAAAAATCCCATGGACAGAGGAGCCAGGCTGGCTACAGTCCATGGAGTTGCAAAGAGTCAGATGTGACTGAGTGACTGAATGCACACACTATGGGTCAGGAGGCAGCCCACAGCACCAGTCACTCTGTATATGTCTTCTGTTCACCACAGGACCTCAGCACCTAGCACAGCACCCAACACACTGTTCAGTTCCATTCAGTTCAGTCGCTCAGTTGTGTCCAACTCTCTGCGACCCCATGAATCTCAGCACACCAGGCCTCCCTGTCCATCACCAACTCCTGGAGTTTACTCAAACTCAAGTCCATCGAGTCGGTGATGCCATCCTGCTTGGAAGCCCCTCCTATCTCTGTAAATGTGGCCATCAGCTTTGCATGAATTCTCCTAAGTTAGAGACCCACTCAGGGCCACTCACAAACAGGGATCCTTTCCTTTTCTGCACTCTTCCAGCCCTCCTCACCTAAATCATCATCCCACTCACTTAACCTTGATATGAGGTTGCAAGTCAATCAATCAACTGCCCAACCACTTCATTTATCAGATGAAGAAACAGGTCTGAAGAGGTAAGCAGCCTTGCCCAAGCCCCAGATAATCCCAGTGAGTCAATGGCAGGGTTGACACCAGAGTCCTGGTCTTTTGGTTAACCATCCAGCGTAATCAAAGGGTAGGAAGTAGGTTTCATCACAATTGTCGGCTTTGCTCAGGCTGTGCCAGCTGCCCAGAGTGAGGGATGGAGTAGACGCATGAGGGAGTAGCCTGCCTGGTGGGAAACAGTGCTGAGATTGTTTAATCATGTCTGCCAGGCTGTGGGAATGAGTGTGTGGGATGGAGAGTAGCTCATGTGGCAACATTTGGGACCTCCAGTTGACCTGACCTGAATCTGATGCTCTCAGCTGCTCCTTTCCTCTCCCAAGTCTTAGTCAGTTGATTCCAGGCAACTCCTTTTGCTCATGCTGAAAAGAGCACCACAGTTGAAGGCCAGTCCAAGAGCCAGGACAGGACGTGTCTTCTGCTTGGCTTGTGATAGGGCTAGACTGTTGCCTACTCTTCCCCACCATCTTGCCCCAGTGCCAGAGATGGTTTAAAAACTTCGAACATGTGTTTGTATAATTAGAAGAACAACCTTTAAGGGACAAGCAGCTCAGCGTGTGGGATCTTAATTCCCTGGCTATGGATGGAACCCATGCCTCCTGCATCAGAAGGCGGAGCCTTAACCACTGGACCACCAGGGAAGTCCCCAGTAATGGAGTTTTAAAATGCCAGCAGAACCAAGAAAGTTTGTTTTTGTTTGTTTTTCGAAGGATAATTGCTCTCAATATTATATTGGTTTCTGTCAAACATCAACATGAATCAGCCATAGGTATACTTATGTCCCCTTCCCTTTGAACCTCTCTCACAACGCCCAAGAAAGTTTGTTTTAAAGGTAGAAGGAAGTTTAAGGAAAAGATTAAGCATAATGCGGTAATAATATGCAGAACCAGCTCCACTGAGGGAGAAGCAGGTTTGCAAACTCAGGGACAATTAGGAAAATGTTTCTCTTCCTTGTGGGTTTGGAAGAATAGTAGCAAATACAGACACCTATAGGGCCAACACAGATAATACATATGAATGAGTCAGCCTGTGTGTAGGGTACTGGAGAACAGTGGGGACTGTGGCTGATTGAGAAGGCATGCCCTACTTTGAGGAGTTCAAATTTTCCAACATTTGTGAAAACATAGCACTCACCAACTAGATATTTGCAGACTTTATTTAGCTTTAGGGATTTAGACTGAAAACTCTGTCCATTAGAGATGAGTGTGTATCTGATCTAAAGTTACCAACTAGTTAATCAGAAAAATAAAGAAGGCTACCTGATTCTCACAGGGTGGTGACAGTCAGGATTTGAGGGGACAGATTCTAGAGGAAACATGAGGCCCTCCCCAACCTCTGACTATTTTATGGAACAGAGTGCCACTACTCTCTGCGGTCTGTCCTGCAGTCCTTCTGGCTATCATTCCAGACTGAATAACTCATACTTAAGCAACAATACTGCTGGGGTAGGGAATGCTTTACAGTGAGACCAAGTCCTAGGGTTTAAAGTTGGGGTTTCCTAAAAAGTGGGAGCAGATTTGTGAGGCAGAGTAGAGAGGTTTGCGGGTCAGATCTGCAAGGCAGAAGCAAAAAGGAAGACGTTTTCTCAGAGAAGCATGAGGCTGGGGCCCAGGATTAGGGACTGGCAAGGCCCCAGGTGGGACTGGGCCGTGTAGTGTGGCAGCCCCAGGGCTTGTGGTACTCACAGACATACCTGGGATGACTTTTTGGCCCCAAACTTCCTCGTTTCACTTCTTGGCACTCGCTCTCAATCTATGGGGAGAAAAAAAAAATCATATTTAGCTTGCATGCTTTAAATTTTTTCCATTGCTACATTGAGATTGTCCCTAGTTACCCTCCCCTCTCCACTAGTTTAGCTTGATGAAGCCTTGGAGAATAAAGGGAGGGGGCAGGAGGGTCAGAGTGGCCTGCCCCTCCCTTTTGGAGCAAGCAGCTTGCTCTCAAGGGGACCATGAAAAGCTCCCAGGAGGAGGCCTCAACAAGCTGAGAGGAGTGCCTGGCGCTGGAGGGTCCCTGCCACTCAATGCCTTCTTTTCTAATACACCCTGGAGGACTTGTAGCCGCAGGAAAGGGGAGCCATTGAAATCTGGAGCAGCCTGCCTGATCTCTGCCCCAACCCTCAGAAGGAGCCAGCCATAATAACTGCTCCAGCTCCCTTACAGGAGGGCTGGGTAACTCAGTGCAGTGGAAAGTGTACAATGCTTGGGAAAATAGAGTCCTAGAAATACAAAATATTATTTTGAACCCTCCCTTCCCACACTTTTCACCTTCATGAGATGTTGTCTTTCAGGCCCAGTCAAAATGATTTGAGTTATAAGAGTATTAAACTCAACCAAACTGACAAATCTCAGGCCCTTGGAAACAGCAGCCCTCACTTTGGCCTTGCCCCTCTTCCCTGGGAGGAGACAGAGAGTGGACCAGTGGGAAGAGCGTGGACTGGGGCTTCTGGCAAGTCTGGGTTTGAATCTCAATTTCACAAATAGTAAAACAACCTCTCTGAGCCTCAGTCCCCACACCCACCCCCAGCCATAGCAAGCTGCCATGAAGTTGGTTGACATGGTCCCTCTGAGTCCCTGAAATTTTGAGCAACCTGAAGTGGGGCTACAGGTAAATTTTTACATAGGTGGGAAGGAAAGAATGTCTGTTGGATTCTTAGATGACATTTATGCTTTCTGTACAATTCAGCTATTGCCCAAAGGCACAGACCAGGGATAGATAAGCGTGTCCTTAGTAAGGTAACATTCTTTCATTATAGAATATGTATTATTTGCCACCAAAGTCCTGTGAAAACTTACCTCTTGGACCTGTAAAAACAGACTCTCCAGCCCCTGGAAGCCTGAGAGGCCAAAGATTGAGGTTCAGGGAAATGGTTATGTCCCAGGAGCTGGGACAGGGGGACTGCTCACCTCCTGAGGCCCCCTGGGTGTGGTCACCCAGTAGAGCTGATGTCTGCACCCCTCTGGGTCCTGTCTCAAGCACACTTTCCTGTGACCGGGACACCTGCAGCCCTACTCAGCAGAGAGGCAGTGACAGAGCAGCAGACAGCTTACGCCTGCGTCCTAGTGGCTTGTTCTCTAGGACACAGAAAAAGACATGGTGACAACCAGTGTTCAGACCCATCTAGTAAGGCAGTGAGAGCTCCTGGGTCCAGAGTCACCTCTTTTTTTTGAAAAGAAGGTCTTCTCTTTGGCTGGAGGATAAAGTCTAAGCCCCGAAGCCTGGGCCCTAGGCTTCCCAACATGGCTCACATCCACCGGCACATGCTTATTGGTACCCATGGCCCCTGGAGCCCAGAACCCAGCTCCTCACATGCTTCCTGCCTTTGCACACACACTCACTCACGTCTCATTTCCATCAGCTCAACACCTGCCTACTCTCAACATGTCTGAGAAAACGTCTCCTTTTCACCTCCAAAAAGTAAGATAACTCCTTTCAATGCATCCTAAACCATCAAACTTGACTGATCTGCTTGCATATCATTCCCCTAACAAGCATGTAAAAGCTATCAGAACAGAAACAGGCCTAGCATGCAGCTCCATATGGGGGCCCCTGGTGAGCCATCTGAACCCATTGGTTTCTGGACCTTGGGGAGGTCCCATGGTAGGGATGGGGAATATAGGAGCAGCAGGGGTGGGGGGAGCCAATACCTGCCAGTTGTGCTCAGTCTGGCCTCTCTGCTTCTCCGGATCACGAGCTCTGTGCTCAAGCACCGAGCCCTTTGCCTTGTCCACCCCAGGACTTTTATTTCGACTTGGGACTTTGGCTTGCTGCGTGGACTCTGGGCTTGGTTCAGCCCTCTGGTTTTGGTGGCTCAACAACCCGTGATGGGGAATTCCCTGCCCCAGCCTCAGATTCTCAGCTCCTACTCCTGTTCCCATTCCAAGGGAGGAGTCAGACTGCTCCTTCCTCTGTGCATGCCACTGTTTTTGATCTGTAACTTATCATTTCATCTTGTATCATTTCGTTTCACGATGACTGAGCCCTTCCCTGGACTGTGAGGGATTTGAAGGCAGAAATACAATAGGGTAGATGTCAAAACATATTTTTTTTCCCTTCAGAGTTTTTTTTTTTTTTTAATGAGGCATGGTTGATTTACAACATTATACAAGTTTCAACAGAGTGATTCACAAATTTTAAAGGTTATACTCCATTTATAGTAATTATAAAATATTGGCTATATTCCTTGTGCTGTACAATATATCCTTGCTGCTTATTTGTTTTGTATATATAGTTTGTACCTCTTAATCTCCTCCCTCTCTCTTGCCCCTCCTCCTTCTCTTTCCCCACTGGTAGTCACTAGTTGGTTCTCTGTATCTGAGAGTCTGTTTCTTTTTTGTTATATTTACTACTTTGTTTTGTTTTTCAGATTCCACATATCCACGATATCATACAGTATTTGTCTTTCTTTGACTTATTTCCCTAAGCAGAATACCCTCCAAGTCCATTCATATTGTTGCAAATGGCGTAATTTCAATTATATATATATATATATATGCCTGGCAGGCTACAGTCCATGGGGTTGCAAAGGCAATTGCAACTGTCACTCACAACTGAGTGACTAAGCACAGCACACACACACACACACACACACACACATCCCACATCTTCTTTATCCATTCATCTGTTCATGGGCACTTAGGTGGCTTCCATATCTCAGCTATTGTAATATTGCTGCTATGAACATTAGGATGCATGCATCTTTTGAGACATTTTTAAAATGAATACATGAATAAATTATGCCCAGTCTCTTGTAATACTACAAATGATATCTGAGCACCATGAACTACATTGAAAATAATCTTTTGTCATCCCTGACTTCCATTTCAAGCCTCCTGAGAGAGAGGAAACAGAATCTCTACCTGTCTGGCCCCACTTGGAGGCAAAGGAATATTTTAGTTATTTTCCTTGTAGTTTTCTAATGCCACTGCTTTCTTTTGGGGCTTGTCCACCTTGCTATCTACTGTTTGAATTTAGATTAAGTCTGTTGCTTGGTTATGTATTTTGAACTTCATCTTAAATTGGTCATGGCTCATTGCTATTGCTTCACATTTCACACATTTCATCCGTTGTGTTTCCTTTTTTATTACTTCTATAGGTTGTGAGTTAGGATAATAAAGTCAAGATAAAATCACCCCAAGCCATTTGCAGTTCTGGGAAGCTGGCAAGGGCTGTCAGAAGCTGGCTGGGTGCCATTAAGAGAAGGAAATGTTCTTCCATTTTGCCAGCCTTATCAGGGCTCCTAACAGCTTCTTGCCAAAATTTTAGGAAAATGATAATATACACCCTGGAGCAATCCTGTATGTTTCTATAGGTGGGGAGTCTTTCAACAAGTATTTTGACTATAAATGCCTGTCATGTTTTTTCACTGGATTAAGTTTGTAACTTGAGCTCCATATCATGAAATACTGACATAGAGAATTAATCAGTGTTCCAAGCTGAGGTATCCTTGTCATCATCACCAGCCACTCGCACTAATTTAGTGTATGGAATCCCATTCAGAATATGCTCATGAAAGAATAATTGGAGACTTTTTTTTTTTAACCACAAAAACATTCTTTTGGTAGAGGGAGACGAGAAGCAGGGAGACTGGCAAGAGCTTATGAAAAGCTGGTACATAATCACAATTCTCTTCTTTTAAATACTTACTCTATATTTCTTCTGCATCTCTATGATGCCAATTTAGATAAGAACTCAGTTCAGATAATTCAGTTTATTTGTACATGTGTGATGTTTTTCTTTCTTGGTGGAGGACCAAATCTCAAATTTCTTGTGTAAGTGTGAAAAGGATGAGGCCATAAGTGTGTCTTTCCCCACCAATTAATTGATCACCAATCAGCCATGCCTACTGAGCACTGACTACATGCCCAGACCTCTGTTAGGAAGGATGCACAGAGAAATAGGGTACTTGTTTCTCCCTTCTCTTTATGAGTTTATAGTCTAGTCAAATAGTCCCAGGTTCAAAGCCTACAACTTAGCAGCAAAGTGGAATGTTAGCAAGTTATGTAATAATTCTGATCTTCTGTTTCTGTCAACATGGGGATAACAATTACACCTATCTCACAGGGCTGCTGTAGCTATTGAGGGAAAGAGTGGGTGTCTGGTGCATCTATAGATGTTGGCTTCCTTCCCCTTCCCTTAGTGTTTGGTCTGGCAAGATATAGCAGAAAGGGTCCCAGGACCTTCTGTGAAGGTCCTGTTCTCAAGGCCAAGAACCATTACTTCCAAGGTCACTTGAAAGCAGGACTACGGTGGCTGGCCTGAAGCAAAGGCTGCAAACTGGCTGCCTGCAGGCCAAAGCAAACCTTAGGCATTTCTAATTTGTCCTCTGTGATAGGAAAAAAAATTTAAATCTGTTGCCAGTGTTTAAATATCAGAAGTGTGAAGTCTCTCAGTCGTGTCCAACTCTGCGACCCCATGGACTGTAGCCCACCAGGCTCCTCTGTCCATGGGATTCTCCAGGCAAGAGTACTGGAGTGGGTTGCCCATTTCCTTCTCCAGGGGATCTTCCTGACCCAGGGATCGAACCCAGGTCTCCTGCATTGCAGGCAGACGCTTTATCCTTTGAGCCACTAGGGAAGCCCTTAAATATCAGAAGATAGCCATAAAAATCTTTAATTTGGGGAGTCTCTAGAAAATCAGAAGATTCTGGCCTTTGACACTCAGATGGAACTGACAAGAAGCCACCTTCTTTGAATGGGTCACATATTCTCATGGTTGCTTGTGACTTCCCACAGGGAAGTCCAGTGGCTAAGACTCTGTGTTCCCAATGCAGGAGGCCCAGGTTCGATCCCTGGTCAGGGAACTAGATACCACAGGCCACAAGTAAGAGTTCCTGTGCCATAACTAAAACCCAGCACAACCAAAAGAAAAAAAACTTAAGGGAAAGAACCAAGCCAAGAATGACAAGCTAGGGTAGCAGAAGCGCTAAGAAGATCCCCCAGAAAAGTAAAGGCTTAGTTCATTCATTCAACAAATATTATTAGTGAGCACCTTGGTGTAAAAGTTTCTGTATTTGCCACAAGATAAAGAACATTTATCGAGAAGCTACTATGTGTCAGGCTCTGATATGCACTAGACAGCCCTCTACAACAAAAAATTATCCAGTTCAACCTATCAACAGTGTCAAGGTTGAGAAACTGAATTATATGCATTAATATGGATGAATCTCATAAATATAATGTTGAGTGCAGAAAACATGTTGCAGGAGAATATATACAGAATAATACTATTTTTCTTAAAATTCAAAGGCAAGGGAACAAACAGAAAGCACTGTATAGGAATTCACACATATACAGTAAAATTATACTGAAAACAAGAGAAATAACAACAAAATAATTTTCCCTGGGGTGGGGGGACAGCACTGGGGGATGGGTTTGGGGAGGTGTATACAAGAAAATGCAGTGTTATTGGAATATTATAATTCTTAACAGGGGAGATGGATTCATGGTTATTAGTTTTATCCTTCATAACTTACATATACACATTCTTTTAAAAGTGTATTTTAGTTTATTTTTGAAAGAATATACACTATTCTGTTTATGGTGGTATGTCTAGTGACCAAGTTTATGGGTAACTTTCATTTCTAAATTGTTTTTATCTTTTGTGATGCAGCTGCAAATGTATATTGGGAAGAAAACAATAAGGAAAGAAACAAGGAACAAATACATTAGACTTTCTTCATTCACAAGGGCTCTGTTTCAAAACCTCGGATGTACCTAAATGCAAATACTACCATCATAATTCATCAAATCTAATATACCTCCATTATAAGCTACACCCATCATTTTGTGTATCACTAAAAATGAACAAAAAAACGCTGTCAAATAAACTTCGACACAGTACTTTCGTATCACTTAAATTTTTAATTTTATTTTGTTTTACTGAAGTATAGTTACTTTACAATGTTAATTTCTACTATATACAAAGTGATTCAGTTATATACATATACAGTCTCTTTCACATTGTTTTCTATTATGGTTTATCACAGGATATTGAATAATATGTCCCTGGGCCACATAGTATGACCTTATTGTTTATCAATCCTATACATAATAGTTTGCATCTACTAGTCCCAAACTCCCAATCCATCCTTCCTCCCACCCCTTAGCAACCACTTATCTGTTCTATATCTGTGAGTCTGTTTTTATTCCATCGATAAGTTCATTTGGGTCATATTTTAGATTCCATGTATAAGTGATATCATATGGTATTTGTCTTTCTCTCTCTGACTTACTTTACTATAAAGTAAAGGGCAGAGGATTGCAAGTTACAGGCCTTCAGGGTTTTGTAAAAATAGGGGTGTAGGGAACTTCCCTGATGGTCCAGTGGTTAAGACTCTGTGCTTCCACTGCAGGGGCCAGGTTCAATCCCTGTTCAGGAAACTAAGATCCTGCAATGCATGGCAAAAAAATCCACCCCTGCCCCCAACGGGACTGTAACAAGAACTAGTGTTGGGAGCAGCCCTCGCCAGGTACAAGCAACAAAATGGTGGGCTCTCCCTAGAGAATATAAGAACAAAGATAACCAAAACTTTGGTTATCATATCTGCCAATCCTGGGGGTCTTATCCAGAGATACTGTCTTCAAAATTCCTTACAGCTTCCCAAATCCCTCTGCGAGGCCATAAACCTTTGAATTATGACTTACTGCTTTCTCAATTTTTAGTCCAACCATTATAGAATGTGGTTTGTGGACCCTTGTTGATCCTCAAGACCATTCCAGAAG